TTTTATATTGACAGTTATTGCAAAATTTCTTTCTAAACGTCGCTCGCGTCTAACCATTTTAAACTGACTGCAGTTTAATAAAATAGTAACCAGTCAAACAAACGTTTTAATATTTTCGTTACTAACAGAGAATACAGTACATATGCTAACTTCATAATGTTAAAACAAGTCTAACCTAGCTAGATTTCTTTAGCATTTTCACATCATTTTATCAGCCTAAATAAAGCCAACCTGAAACAGATGTTTAAATAACACAGTTGTATCGGAACACGGCGAGTTGTTTAGGTGACAATATCGTTACGGTATGACGTCACAAGGTCGTTGACATTATAGATAATGATTTTTTTTTTTTCATTTTACTGTATTTACTGCTTATAATTGACAATTTGGCTTCAAAATACTTCAATCAACAGCACGAAACGAAATTACGTACAAAAAGTAAAACTAGACTCGAAAAAACTGAATGGAACACACAAATTTTGCCCGTGCGAGGACCGTAGTCCGTACACACTTCTACGGACGCTTTTGGCAAGGTTAGACGAAAGTCGAGCAGAGGCCAAAATTAACTCCAACTTAAGACGTAACAATAAAAGAAGATTGTATTTTAAAAGTTTTCAAATTGAACAACAATACGAAAGCCATAAAAAAAATCACATTGCACAAGTTTTAGACGTTTCCATGAGTTAGTCTCATTTAAGTCGTTTAAAAAATATAAACAGGGAAATAAACAAGTCAACACGCTAACGTAGTTAATTGTCTGGACGTGGAAATTCAAAAATAGAATGAGTTTTTATCGCATCATGAGTGCAACAACCCTTTCAACGCAATCATATGTTCACATACAATTATTTACCTTATTAAGTGTAAAGTTTATTGACTACAAAAGTAGTAAGTACCTTATTTTTATGTACAAAACACTTTAAGTTTTATATATACAAAACTTACACTTCGCTGTAAAGATAAAAAAACCTAATAAAAAGGATTATAAGAAAAAACTCCGATAAAAGGAACAATATTGTTTTATATTGGTTACACAGCGTATTGTGTACCGTCTCAGCATAATTAGAGACGTGTTTCGGCTCAAAACCAAAATAACGCTCGTCCCCTGATTATAAATACTGAATAAAAAATGAACGCGCATGCGCACGATTGTGTCGTTAAGACAATAATACTCGCCCGCACAGATGACCCAAGTGAGAGAGAGAGACTAAAAAATTCTTTACCCAATCTTCATACGATTTATCCAAGATCTGTATCTTCACAGTGCTTAAAAAGCAGAAAGGAAGCACTCAACTAAGGTTAAGTCACACGTCACTTAATTCGGAACGCGCCCTAAAATAAAAGTGACAGCCACTCGTGACGTCGCTGTGACGTCACTGGTCAACGGCCTCATAGTGGGCGTAGCGCGTTCGTTTTTCGAATTTTTAAGTATCAATTGTCGGTTGTGTATACGTTAATTATTGGATTATAATATACTAATAAAATAATTCGATGATTTTAAACGTTTTGTAAAGCTTCGTAATAGAAACTTGTAATCGTATTTAAATTGCAAAAAGTAGATACATTTTTAGACTCATTTAATTAATTTGTAGGAAAAGTTCTTAACAAAAAATAAACTTGAAATGACTATCTTGGATTGATTGCACTGCCACTACCTGACAATACCTAACACTCTTTACCATAAACAAATGATTCAGAGGTCAACGAGTCATTGAATTAGGAGTGGCCAACCTTGGACCAGGGAATTAAGCAATTTACTCTCATTTTCATATGAGTAAAGACCACTAAATTCATTCATGCAAGTAAGCGTTCAAATAGTTCATCCAAGAAAAGATTATTTCTGTTCGGCCATAGTAGTTATGGTGTGTGTAAAATATTTATATTTAGTTTTATATAATAATGGCCATTCTATTAAATTAGTATCGTCTGTAGATGATCAATATTATAAATGAGGTATTATTACAGTTAATATAGATGTATTGTCTATGTATACGCGTTCACAAAAAATCAAGCTCATCCGAGTTTTTTGCAGATTCCAGTTTCTAGCTTAGGGGTACTTCAAAAAAGACTATCCCGGGCACATAGTACGGTAGTACTTAGAAGTTAATGACTAGGGTCCAAATCACAACCATAAAGTAATGTTTTTGTTTTCTGAGAGAAGGTGTTTTTGTTTTCGGCGGTAGGGCCACGCAACAGTTTTTGCCGTTGCACGAATGGGCAGGTCCGTCCGGGTTATCACGACCTCGCAGAAGACCGGCTTCAAGTAGAAGTGTACTTCTGCGTTTCGTCTGGTGAATGAGGTAGCCGGGGCCCACTTCATTATGAAGTGGCAACGCATCTACAACCCTGCGGGTGTTGCAAATGTCCATGGGCAGGCGGTTATCGCTCAACATCAGGTGAACCGCAAGCTCGTTTGCCACTTTCTCACATAAAAAAAGGTGACAATTGATGGTTGATGGTTTTTATGAGGACGTGGCCCACACAACAGAAGCCACTGCGTCCCCTATTAAATCTTGTCCAGACAAAATCTTGCGAATCTACGAAACGAACTAGGTCCTATGAAGCTCTCTAAGTAGGATATGAGACGTAATAGAGTTAGATATCTGTTAGTCAGATATCTGTTCAGTTAGTAAATGTACGAATACTGTCCGTCAGTTTTAATTTCTACAAGTACCTATGCTTGAAATAATACATTCAACGTTTTATTTTTTGCAACCGAACCAGATTAATTCGCAGAACTATTGACAGTTTTAAATAAAAGTGAAGACGTCGAATGTAGTGTCAGTTGGGGGGGCGATGAAAACGAACTTGCTCCATGCTCCGGTAAAACAATTAAGTAACAAGTCAAAGTGCAAAGTGTGTCAAGTGCATTGACCCCGACCGAAAACACGTGCAACATTTCTCGGTTCGAGAACGCCTCGTGATATAAGGCGGAACAATGAAAATTGAACTTTAGCGAAATATATTAAAGTCGGGTTTTCAACTGGATCATTCAATTGACATGTGGTTTACCTCTTGCATTTTCTTAATTCCCAACATATTAGGCTAGCGTTTAAAGGATAAATTGTAAAATTTCCATATTGGTCTTATTGAAATTTGCATTATCCAACGCGTAACTAAGTACAAATTACAATGAAGATAAACAGTTGCAAATAGGCGTAAGGTATGTTATGTTAACCCAAATTTTTCGAACGATTAACACGAATTCCGAACAAAGAAAAAAACCAAACTATTAGTGGAAATTTATTTTGTGGGGCACAAACATTCAAATCCAATTGGGAACGCAACGCACATTGCAGATAGTGCAAACTAATTGTAAATAATGACGCCAGGTTTCTTGGGGCCAGATGACGTAAAGACACGGATTGTCAAACGACACGTGTGACTTCTTATCTCGAACTGTCAAATGTTGCACCAATTGCACCAAATACTAACTTTCGTATGTGCAATTGTGCATCGTTCTATTTTCAATAGATTGAGAAAATGCGTTAGCAATAACTGTGTAGAAGTGTTTCATTGAAATCAAATTTCCATCACATATTTCAAGCGGTTTTAACTATTGTAGGTAAAGACGTGAAGCACATTTAAAACACACGAATACTTGTAATTAAAAACAGATATGTTTTTTTTAATGTTTGAATGTCTGTCGAGTGAAGGTTTTTTTTTTTTTTGCTGTGATACAGCAGGTTCTACTGTTGTATAAAAGTGTCAGCTTCTCCAGGGATGTAATTCTTTCAGGAGACCGGCCGGCTTGGCTTGTGACGATTATTGAGTTTAGTCCTTTAGTTCGTATCAGTACTCCGCGAGCTCGGTACCGAATGAACTCAATAGTTAATTCGGTACCGAGCTCACGGAAAGGCTGTATATAGGACCCTACGTATGTCCTCATGGAAGACATGCAGATCCGGAAATCAAAATTTGCGTTTTTTAAGCTGCATTAGTTTTAGGATTGGTATTGTTTGGCGCTTAATTGTACCAAACACAAGTCTTAAGCCATTTCTTCGGCGTAGCTAACGTCATACTTGTAACCGATAATTCACCGTAGGGAACATCAGATGCTGCCAGTCTTAATCGTTGAAAGTCGTCCCTAAATATCTGTACCTGCCCACTACTCCTCTATACTCTATTTAAAAAAACTGGGCAACAGACCAGAGACGATAAAATGATCAAGCATTTACTTTCAATTGTTACATAATATTTTTTAGTCATTACTAAACACACAGTTGATAACGCGAATGTAAAACCAATAAATAGAATTTGTCATTCAAATATCGCTTTAATGACTTTGGAGTTTAAAAGTTAAACATGCTCCGACGAGTAATTATTATAACAACTTTGATAGAGGGAACTTTGTCAACCTATTGATGTGTTATACCAGACAGACAAATAACTTGATATTCTTGTTTGTATAAAGTAGTGTGATATGTTTGTGCGGTTGGTCTACCTTCATATACAATATGGTTTGAAAGGCAGAGGTTGGTTTGAAATTTTAATACAAATATAAAATATGAGTACGGAAGAACTGTCTAAACTAAGGCACTGTACGACTTATTGTATTGTACGTATCCCCTAATTCTGAATGTACTCGTATGAAACTTACGAGTGACCTTTCATAAGGTCAACGTACTTCGATACAGGGACACATTGCCGAAATGTACTATGGACAATCCTTTATAGTAATCATTTTAGCATTATACCATTCGAATATAACTGAAATTACTAAATTAATCTTAAGAGCTGATCTGTGGTAGTTGAAATAGTAAGTTTAGTTATTTACCAGTTATATACTTCCATGCTGTAATAATTTTTATAAAATGGTTGAGGTGCTAAGTGGTTGAAGTAACTAAGGTTTGTGATCTAAAAACACATTTTGTGGTTCGATTGAGATAAATCTTAGATCACAGCGAATCACGTGCTCTTCGTTAACTGCGAGAGTTTAGGAATGGAATACACGCGCAGACTCTTTAAAAAGTTGTTGTTATGTCACAGTATGAACTCACGTGCACCGGCTCTACCGGCACGCCACTTGTCGTATTTACCTCTGATGGAGTTCGCCGCCTTCTTGTCCATGAACATGCCGGATATGGACGAGCCGAACATGCCCTCGCTGCTCGGCGGCGGCGACGTGCTGTCCGCCACCGAGCCGGAGGTGATGTCCAGGCCCATGTGGCCGTGCATCCCCTGCACCTCGGCGTGGGGCTCCCGCTTCGGCTGAACGCCCTGCGGCAGCTGCGATGGGTGCAGCATCGTCGAGGCGGACGAGTGGCCCCCGTGCTGGTCCGGCGGCCACTGGGAGCCGAACAGCTCGTGGAACTGGTTGTTGTTCATCATTCCGTAGTTAGGGTTGCGCGCGGCAATGGTGACAACTTCGCTCACCACCTCCGCCTCCGACTTTAAGTTACCTTCGACCAGTGGTTCTTCCTGCGCGCGAATTGTATTCGCATTGCTATGACTACTATCACTGCTTGGTTCGCTATTCTCTTCCTTTTTTATAATTTTCCTTTTTATTCTTTGAATTTTTTTAATGTTTTGTTTGTTTGTTTTTAGTCGACTATGTCGGGTTAAGGCAACGTTACACTATCTTGACACCATAAGCGATTTTCTTCGAAAAAACTTTATGGCACTCCGGACTGTTTCGTCAACTATGTTGAGTTTTAAGCACCAGTGTGTGTTTGTATTTTTTTAACTGATAAATATATTTAGGCCGAGCGGCGAAGTGAGGTTTCTTTTCGCAAAGTTTATTTCGGGAATTAACTTTTTGAAGAGCAACAAGTTCCTTGGCATTTTGTCTCCGTGGTTTTGTTTTGTTGTCCCCTTTTCCTCTTAAATAATTCTACATAAGGCACTGTTCTTTTTTTAACAATTTATTGTTTTAATCCACTTGTTCCCGTATACTATTTGTCACAGGGTCGAAAAAGAAAACAATCTGTAAAAAGAAAACCAAAGCAGGGAGAAGTATTTACTTGATATTATTTAATTTATTAAAAAAAAGGGAAAACTTTAATGCCAATTGGATTTGCGAAATTTCAAAACAAGAAAAAAAATAAAAAGCTATTTTTTTAACCGAACACGAATAGGCTGAAACAATTTTATTTTCCCGCAATAAATTCCGATTATATTGGACGCCGGTTTTATAAGTTTGGAATTTTCATTCGTTTATTTCGTCACCACGCTCCATCGGAACCACCCCGTTCACTAGCACTGTACAAGGCACTGTCACTGATCTCCAGTAAATAAAACAACAGTAGCGATCACCTCACCGCTGCAAGGGAAAATTTGTACGTTAATATTTGTACTATGGGTTGTGCACAACTCGGCTACGCGTCGAGGACTGGCCGTCTTGAGATGTTGACGCCTGAACGGTCCGATCGTGACTGACGCATTGACGAATCTTCAGCCGGGTTCACGAAAAAATTATATTTTTTTTTTTTCATTCGGGCCGAATAATCAACTTAGCTCATAGTGATAGTTCAGTCGCCCCGCGTCGGTGCGGAATATGGCGGGCGAAAAAAAAAACTCCGTAAAAATCGAGCATTAAGCGAAAAGGATTTTCTCGAGCTGTGGCCGTGATACGCAACGTCGCGATGCCGTCGTTAAAGTTTTAATAATGTTTTAAATATAGCCGCAATTTATTAACAAAAGTCACCGGCATAGTCCGCATCGTGTACAAGGCGCGAGACATCGATGTGTGCGTCCGGCGGTGTTGCGTACGGACGTAGAGGCGCGCGCACACAGACGCGCGGGCGTCACAGCGGTTCATTGACCCCGGGACCCAAACAAAGTAGATTTCGGTGAAATGCTGTTGAACTCTAGTTTGAATGTGGATTCTTCGACGCTTTTGTTGCCTGCATTGCTTTGGCGATTTTTTTAGGTTCCAAATTGTTTTATATTTGTTGTTGTTGTTGATAATACGATGCAGTTGGAGGGGCTCTAAACGATTTTTGTTAACAGTTCAATGACCCCGGAAAATGAATGTTGTCAACCGCGTAACGTCGACGCGCGCATTTTTCCGATTCATTATTCATGGAATTTTATCTTAAGGATATACATGAGCAATTAATTTACACTTAAAAGTTATGGTTTTAATTGGTGAATTGTAAGTTATTGTGCTTATTTAATCTACTGTTACAAATGCAATATAATTTTCTGACAAATGTATTCGAAAAACATTACATAGTCCATGTAAGTGCTTTAAAGTGCAGGATTTGTTATTACTACATTATGAAAAAAATACGGCTAGTTAGACAATAAAGGCGATCTCTTTTTAAAATTTGTTTTTTTTTTTTAATTTAATCCGATATAACAAGAAGTTTTATAGGTCATTGGTCTGTCGGCACACGTGCTCACCCTGGCCAATTGACCTTACGTCGAGGTCGCATTCACACGATATGCTGAAATGAGGTAATCTGTGCATATTTCACGCCAGGATTTTGCGGCAACAATCAAAATATATTCGAAATTCACATACCTAATCTTATCGACGTATCCTAGAAAGGAAAAAATTAAAACCGTTTTTTTTTACCATTAGCATGGAAGACGTTGCGTAAAACTGGTGTCAATGTGTTACAAGCCAGTTTTTGAATAATTATGTGCGCTCTTTTAAGCTACATCGAATTTGGTTCAATCAATTAAAGTACAATATGACCATTTAGTTATGGTTTTCGACAATAGTTATTGTGCAAATGCGCCATGTAAGTCCTGTATAGCAGACTCCGTCGCCTAGAAAATTCGACTCCGTTGTAAGGTCATCCGCGTTACAGCAAAAATAGGAAATCGCCCGGATTCCCGGCATATTTGAGGGTTAGGAGTAAATAACCTAGCAGTGGCGGCGACCTTGCGAGCGAGACGCGAGTGACGTCACGCACTCCATCTCCCTCCCCCCCTTGGGCTAACGAACTATCGATTTGGGACCACGTGCCGAGTTTTCATCACCCGCACTGTATGTAATGATGTTTATAGTAATGAGTCACGCCATTAAAAACGATCGTCAAAATTTCAAACACCTCTCCGCGTGGAAAGCTCTTGGGGTGTTCGCGTCGTACCGTTTCTATGTATTTAGAGAAATAAGGCAAATTCCATCATATGATGCTGGCTAAGGAATTCAAATATTCGTGATACTAATAACCTAATATTACGAATTGCTCTCTAGGAATCGGTCACCAGTATAAACTTTAATTTTTTTTTTTCAGACGTTATGTTGTTATATAATACTTAGGGAAAGCAAACTTTTTAGAGTTTTTCAATGCTTCTACAATAAACGAGATTTTATGACGTTGTAAATAAAGATATACTCATCTCATTACATTGTGCATCAAAGTCTCAAAACACCTAGTTAATATTAGTGTAGTTTCGCTTTCAAATTATGTCTAATAAAATATACGCAGTGAACAATGTTTAAACATTGTAAACGTTTCCTCAGAAGTAAGAATACTTAATGATAGCTAATTCCACCACGTGGGTAACTAAATAGCCTAACTCCGGTGTGTATTATGCACACGTTAAGAGGAGGAAACTAGTTGGAAAAGAGAAAATTACACCACACCGATATAAACGTTTGTTAATCATCCCCTGAAAAAGAGCGTAAATAAACTTGAAAGCGGCTGCATAGTCCAATAAAAACTTGACTCAGTCTCCCGAAATAATTGAACTAGAAGATACATTCGTTCCATTAATCTTATGCCTCTCTATAAACGTCTCTGTGTGAGCCGTTTTACGTTACAACTAATTGGGGATATTATTTAATCGTATATTTTCATTCTGCATGCGTTGGCCTTTGATATTTCTTTACTTCGAAATTTTATCTAGTTTGGTAGAGCGTCATAGGACAATATAAGACTTGTTTTCATTCTTTTGTTACATAATCGGAAACACGTCTTCCGTCACAACTATGGATTCAAAAGACAAATGTGTGCACAGCCGAACTAAACGACTCATTAGATTAATGAAATCTATTGCATACGTTCACGCAGACTCGTAGTGATCAGTATGTCAATAAATATTCGTTTAATATAGTAGTATATTAAGTAGTTTATTTGCAAGTCGATATTGTTCGTATATAAAATTATCCAATTCAGTCTTCAGAGCCATGATACATACAATATTTGAACAACCTGCCTTCAAATCCCGGTGCCAACACTAATGAAATTGTTAATTTTAAGTGCTGATTTGTCACTTGCTAAGCGGTGAAGGAAAACATCGTGAGGAAACCTGCATATTTTTGAAATAACAATTTCGAAGATATGTGGAGTCCGATAATCTGCAGTGGGGTCGCGTGGTGGACTATGCCCTAATACCCTCTGTACACAGGAGGGTATTAGGGTATTTTCCCAGCAGTGAAATCTATATAATCTGATACTTTATTTTTTTACTTTACTCAATCGGAGCAGATTCTTATACTAACCATCCATACTTTACTTTAAGCCTAGAACTGTCACTTATGGTGGTTTAAACAACATGTCTAAATTTCAATCTCTCGTGGTTCTTCTAAGGCCCACGCTAGTAGAACCACGAAACGGTTGGATCGTTGGACAGTTCGCGATATCGAGATGTACACGTACCCTATAAAGGTAGTGATCAATGTGGTACAAGTCATGTACGCGGGCGTCATCGACCCGTTGCCATCGTATTTCTTGCTTAAAATTTTTCCTGACATGTGAGTCAGCGTGCGTTATTATCGCAACAAGTCATCGACCCCACTTGCGTTAGTTAAAATTTTTAATTGCGCAAACGGTTTTACATAAACTCCTTGAATATCGGCGCGCGGTGACAGTTCGCTTGGGTCACACATTGCCTTCTTAGCTGTATCAGAACAGATCCGATATATTTTTCGTTAAAGAGCACGTTTGAAAGTTTTAAGAGATCTAAGATCATGTAAATTATGAAATGCACAGTAGTAAATGCAAATCCCATTGTAGTAGCGAAGTTTATCGATGATATATTGGAGATCTTTACTCCCATTGGTGGGCAACACGTTGACAATATCTCTGGTTGTGAGTATCCACAGAGCACAATCCAAAGTTATCGTCAAGTGAATTACTAGCTATGGTGTCATATTTATTCTTAAAAAAATACAAAATCACACTTGTTTCACGTCGAGGAGTGTATAATTATTTTAACACAATGTTATCTTTAAAAATATTAAAGTTTGTAGAAAAAAGTACGGGAAGTCTTTCACCGCTGTGGGAATCGAACCCACGTCTTCGGATATCGCGCCCTGACGCTTTAGCCACTAAGCTAAATGGCTGATTGCCACACCTACGTACTTGTATCTACAAATTTTAATGTTTAATCTTAAGTGCAGAGATTAGCACTATAAAAATTAAAAGTCTTGCATGCATAGACCACAAAATACATAAAAGTGAGAATAATCTTTGAGATAAATCGGAATAAGTCACTATAACTAGTACAAAATTTAACGAGACCATTGGCACAATCTTGGCACAGATATTAGAGATTTAGAAATTGTTATTGTAACCCAGAATTAATTTGGGATAACAGGTGTCGATTAAGTAGGAAATTTGGACATTATACTCCTAATATTGGTTCTAATGATTTTAGTTTCACATATAATACATTCATTCATGTTTATTTGATGGGTAAATATATTTTTAAAAATTATACGAAGTATCATTATTTTTGTATAATAGTTTCTCTACTTCTATCTGGATAAAATTAGAGGTTTAATAAAGTTACAATTGTAATTAAATCAGGCAGTTTAGAGCTTCTGGGATCAAATATTGTAGATTTATAAAAGACGTAAGCCAAAATACTGAAATTCGAAAGAAGGAAGTGGAATATTTGAATTTAAAATCGGGTTATTCGGTGGTTACAGTTCAAATAATGTCCGTTGAACTATGAACTACGTATGAACTCGGAGCGACCTTCTCCCCTATAAAATAGATCGAATAATTTATATTTTAATACTATAAAATATTACAACAAAAAATTTAATCACATCTTTAATTTCAATCTCAGATGAAAAAATATTTTCCCCTTATAGAAATTTATTGCATAACAATAAAATTTAATATAAGTTCCCGAAAACGTCCAATGAACTGTACAATAACTTCCGTTGGACTTGTGGCCCTTGTAAACGGCCAGTGACATTACAAATATTTCATTCATTCCCCTGCAAATTGAGAAGAGTGAATGGATTCAAACAGCGAAATAACATTTTTATGTAACTAAAACATTAAAAATATGTTTATAAAACATTTCTAAAATTCATAATAATTTTCATACATGTCATTTTGTCGGCCACAAATAAAACAAAGATAAAAGTTAATAAAGAAAGCGTCGTAAGTTACAGGAGGCGGTGTGAGATGGACACGATTCGAAATTCAAATCGTGTCAGAGAATTCGCGAATTGCATCGGCGGCAACCGGCCAGTGTAACTGGCTGGCTAGAGAAATGCCGTTGAACTCGCAGATTCGGGGTTCGTCGCCCGCGCGGCTGCGCAATCTTCAGATAACGCTCGATATCGATCGGAGATTTAGGGACTATCCTAACTTATCGATATCTAATGATTGCTTGGATTCATGCAAATACTACGCGTTGTGAATAAAACTATTTAGCGGATTTCATCGCCTTTAATTCATTTATAAATTCCAGATGGCACAAGCTAAATAAACTATTCAAATTTCCTCTTTGATTTGCACATACGTCTTAATAATATTTTCAAGCATTTGAAACATAACAGTTTCTTCAAATATTACTCAATAAGAATAAGGTGCATAAAGTTCACTATTCTTAAAAAGTGGAAAATTTTAAATTTAAAAAATCGCACGCCAATCACTTCCACGAATCATCAGATTAAGCAATTATTGACGGTTTTTGCTTACTTCTAAAATTGCAGAAAAATATCGTACCTAAAAAAGCTGCACGTCCGTTATACTTCAGCTTGCGTGATTCCCGACACGTATTGTTGCGTGCGTGGTTAAATGGCGTCCAAGCCACTCTAACGAGAAATGACAAACTGTACATGCTGACTATCATTTGCTATCGAACTTATTTTGTTCCTTCCTTTAGTCACAACCTAATGGCCGAAATGGCTCTTAATTGTCCGACTACCGGAGGAAAGCATTTCCAGCGTATATATTTATGTAAGTACGTGTGTATAATTCTTTACCACGCTCAAAAGCCTAAACCTTTCGACCGATTTCAACATATGCTATTCAACATGTCATTAGATTCGTCCATTTTATAGGAGTAGGACGAATATATGCACACTTTTACATAATTAGCCTCAAATCTATATGACAATGATAGTGAAGTAATTTCATGTGTTCTATTTGCGGCGTAAAAGTATTTAGTGGTAAATTTTCCTTAAGGAGGATTTTACACAGCAAACTCGTTAAAATCTCGAGTGAGTGACACCAGCCGGACGGAATCGTCTTTGGACAGTTAAACGTAATGCGCAAGTGCTCGGGGCGTTTCGTTCGGAGCTCTCGATACTTTTTACGAACAGATCACCGCCGAATCCCCGTATCCGCGTCACGAAATCAGCCCGAATTGAATTTTATTTGACGGCGACATTTCCGCAGATATATAGCTATACGAGTTGTAAATCAAAGAATCCGCAATTGATGCGCTTCCGCCACGTACGTTTGATGTTCTGCATTGATGTAGGGATTGATAAGTAACTTCAATCGTTGTTTATTCGGTCTTAAGAATAAAACACAATGAACATTTTTGCGAAATTAACGCATCCCTGCCAAATAGCGGCGAACGTTTCAACGGTTATTGATTGCATAATTGAAAAATGAGATTCAACATTAATTTTGGTACGGAATCAATCGAAACTTAATGAGGAAAAATAAAATTTATTTATTCGTCCACACAGTATAGTCTGGAATGTTGTTTTTTAAATTTAAATACATCCATGATATCAAACTTGATTAAATTACAAAAATATAAGAGAGGAATTATTCTTTGTAAAGTTTCAAATTAAATCGTACTCTAACATTATATTATTATAAACGAAAAAAAAATCTACTTTTAAACAACAGCAGACTGGTAATTAATTATCCGCCGTAATATTTCAAAGAATAATATACCCGTGAAGAAAACCTGAACAAAATACGTTAGACTACACAAAAAAAAATGTGCGAGCATGATTTAACCTGTACACGGTCATTCCACCGATTGCTACAATGCTGACGAAATCGGATGAACGCATTGTATCTTTTATTCCGATAAATTGAAAAGGTTACAATAATTTATTATCCTTTAATAGTATTTTGCATCATTGCGTATTGGTCAGTGCTTATAAATCAATGAAGCTTAATAATCCTGCATGAAAACATTAGGCAATATATCCCATATTGGATTAATCATTTGGTTTTGTAAGCTCCGAATATCGGTACGTGTCTCAGATATTATTTCGAAAATATGCCTGTTTCCTCACGATGTTATTCTTCACCGCTGAGCACGTGATAAGTCAGCACTTAAAATTAATAATTTCATTGGTACCGACTCCGGGATTCGAACTAAAGTTGTTCGAGTATAATGAACTAGCTTTTCAACCGCGACTTCGCTCGCGTTGAAACCCTTAAATACATATCTATACCCTTTAAGAACACTTTATAATCCTTTTTCCAATTAAAATAGCATAAAATACAATTATGTCCTTTCTCAGGCTCTAGACTATCTGTGTACCAAATTTCATTCAAATCGGTACAGTAGTTTTGGCGTGAAAGCGAGACAGATTGAGTTACTTTCGCATTTATAATATTAGTATGGATTAAAAGCGAACGCCTAGACGCTCACCTATGTCACGGCTATTTTGATTCGTAAAATATTTAGACGATATGAGATATCTGCCAAATTGCAGTGGGGTCGCGTGATGGACTAAGCCCTAATACCCTCTGTAAAGAGGAGGTCTTTGTCCAGCAGTGGGCAAAGGCCTCCTCATCATGTATGGGCTGAATAGTATTTTTTTCCATTAAATCTCAACTATATCAAAACATACTTATTTAAAACCCGCTAATCTGATTAACAGAATCGCTGCCACCTAGTCGTATTTCGGGTTATAAATGTCTTCGTAAATATTTTATGATTCAGATGTTGTGATAAATCTTCGGACTTGGCTTAGCTCTCCCCTGATCGGGGACTTAAGTCAAGCGCTAGGCTGAGTTACTACGGAACTATCTACATGAGTGGCATGAAATCTTTTAAAGACATTCCTTCTCTAGATGTTATCTAATCTAGAAGTGATATTACATTATTTTTTAATTGAGAAAGAGGCAAACGAGCTGGCGGTTTACCTGATGTTAAGTGATAACCGCCTTCCCATGGACATTTGCATCACCCGTAGGGTTGCAGATGCATTGCCACCTCTTAATAATGTGGACCCCGGCTACCTCATATCCAGACGAAACGCAGAAGTGAACTTCTACTATACGCTGGTCTTCTGTGAGGTCGTGGTACTAACACGGACTGACCTGCCCATTCGTGCAATAGCGAACACTGTTGCGTTACACCACCGTAAAACATGATCACGTTACATGATCTCCGTAGCCAAATTCTCTTTATGTTATCATCACGAAATAGTATAAAACAAAGACGTCCCATGTATCCGTCCGTCCTATGTATGCTTAGATCTTTAAAACTACGCAACGGATCTTGATGCGGTTTTTTTTTACTAGGTAGAGTGATTCAAGAGGACAGTTTATATATACGGGGTGGCTTTTCTAAGTGTATCCATTCTTTTTTATTAAATTCTAGACATAAATAATGTTATATAAAAATGATAAATATTTAAAATCGCTCGTAAGTAATTAATTACATTCATTTTAACTTATCTCAAAAAGTGCGTGATTTATATGCAACTCATTTATTTTACGCGCGGTCATTCATAACTAACACGCACATAAGTTCGTGCACAGTAAAATTTAGGTATTTATGAATGACTACCGCATTGTCAACACATTCTGTTTTTTAGGGAATAGAATGGAATTTTTTTTTTTGGAAAAACACTTTATTCTTATTTCAATAAACGATTATACTACCGAGTCTGAACCTCCTGTGTAAATTTGGGCACTTATCAAAAAAGCTCCCTGTATATTCATAAGATATTTTATATTGAGGCGTTTTACATATTGTATTCATTGTACTAACTCCGTTGCCACATCCAGGTCTGAACCGATAGTCTACATGAACAGATCATACAAGGCACTTCCTTAGTCCTTAGTCTACAGATCACGCGAGTAGTTCCTCAATCCAAGTATCTAATCCGAAACACTCAAGACGAAAAAGAACTCCCAACATCTGATCCTACGACCCGATTTGCGTTAAAAATAAATTGTATTGTTGTATGTAGGTATTTATTTGCAAAAGCTAATGAACATACTACCTATACATGTTCATTAGTTCCTAGTACCCACAGTGCAAGCTTTGCTTAGTTTGGTGCTAGATTGTATAAAAATGCGTCCTGAAATATTTACAGTGTCTTCATTAAAATGTAAATACACCTAGTTTCATCTGAAACCCGAAACCATAAAGTTTTTACGGCATTTTCTTACACGTTATTTCAAATGACGAGAAACGAGGACGTTCGAATAGTATAATCGTTTACTTGGGTATCGTTTTTAAGCTTTTTTAGGGTTCCGTATCCAAAGGGTACCCATTACTACGAGTCCGCTGACTGTCTGTCTGTCCGTCTATCACCAGCCTGTATCTCATGAACTGTGATAGTTAAACTTTTAAAATTTTCACAGATGATGTATTTCTGTTGCTGCTATAACAACCAGTACTAAAAAACAGAATATAAATTATTCAAGTGGGGCTCCCATACAATGGATATGTTTTTTTTGCTGTTTTTATAGAAAATTATTGTCAATGGCTACCCCTTTTCTATTTATTTTATATTAATCGTTGTAGGTTAGCTATAAGTTTTCCATGTATAAATTAAATAAAATAAAAAAATGGTACGGAACCTTTGGTTCGCAAGTCCAACTCGCACTTGGCCGGTTTTTATTTCAGTAGTGACGTGCTATTGATCTCGCAAACGGGGACAGGTCTGTGGGCGTTAGTTACCATAAAGTAGGTTTTATTCCTCGTTTGTTTACTCGTTTGGAAACCATAAACTTTGCTTTCATTGCCTCCTCTGACTGCGGAAGCCGAGAAATTAGAATAAGCGTATACGTATAAAAGATTCGCAATACTCTAATTAAGCATTCGTGTTATTTTTTGCATTATTCTTTAATGGTCCAGAATTAAACATAAATACTTTTCCAATCATAAATCATCTGATTTTAAATTCCACCCAGAACGGTGGTAACGATAAACTTTTCGTAAAATTAGTATATTTCACGTTGTTTAAAAAAACAACTCAAACTGTTTATACGACTGTCCGTACGGCGCTTTTAATTAGGTATTCCAAAGGATTTTATTGAGATGCTCCATGTAGACAATTCAAACGCGGCAACATCACAATGGTTAATTTTTCTCGAGAAAATTCTGACAAAAAAATAACTATTTTACTTCAAAAACAAAAAGGGTACACGGTATCAACGGTAAAATCCTAACATAATCATTCAGGGATTGCCTAATTAATAACGAGCGAGTTAGTAGCAAGTTCAGAGTGGACCCAATAAAACGCCCCTAAGGAGGGAGTTATAAAATTGAGAGGAAAAATCGCCCCCTAAGGAGGGAGTCAGTTATGAAATTGAGAGGAAAAATGCAACCGGGAAGCATCGACGGCGCGATAAGCCGGGCCGGTTCCTTCCACGGCCCACGTGGTGGGTCATCGGCTGCCCCACTGCGCACTGGGTTCGGTGAACGCTCGGCACGCACACCGCTGCGCGGCGCACGCACACAGCCACAGTCGCGCCTGTGTGCGACACGCCGACGCGACGCGCAAGAGGCAGGTGACTAATTGCAAGGGAATAATGGAATTATATTTACAGGGAAATCGAAGCGTCGCAACCGATCGACGATCTACGAGAGTTTTTTTTTTTTTAAGTCAAAGTCCTGAGTCAACAGAATTGTTTTATTGAGTCAAAATGCATATAGTACCGGTTCCATAATTTAGACCCGTCCTGAAGAGATCCGGTAAGGAAATCTCCCTCGTTACCTATCCAAATTACCTATCCGTTGTTACCATGCACAAATGTACATATACAATGTACGTATACTTGTATATGTAAACAAAATGCGCAACATCTCTCCGTACTTCACTCCGTTTGTGAACAGTAACTAAGCACTATGAAATGTCCATCCATATTTACATGGATTTTTTTTTAGTACGAATTTAATCTATTACGGCTATGCTGGCCTAGGCTGTGACTTAAATTGCATTCGTACTCGTGCAATATGTATGTACACGTAAATCGGCTGTTCGTGTCTTTTAAAATACAGATGTAGAGTTGAAGAAAGGCTCTTGTTTCTTCAAGCTCTACATTTTGTTTTAGTGGACCGGGATATTGAATTGCATGTGATCCGAAAATGGATGGATTCATTGGTGCGCAAAAATTAGTTCGCGTTGATGTTTCTTTTTTTATGTGAAAAAGCGGCAAACGAACTGACGCTTCACCTGATGTTAGGCGATAACCGTCGCCCATAGACATTTGCAACACCCGTAAGGTTGCAAATGCGTTGCCATCTTTAAATAAGGAGGGCCCCGGCTATCTCACTCACAACACGAAACGCAGAAGTGTGACACTTCTACTTTACGCTAATCTTCTGTGAGGTTGTGGTACTTATCCGGACGGACCTGCCCATTCGTGCTAAAGTTAACACTGTTGCGTGGCACTACCACAAATAATATAGAGCAATCATTGCTATTAAAAAAACAGTAAAGGAGCAAGCACCTTGATGGTTAGTGACCACCACCGCCCATGTACATGTCAAACGCCAGAAAACGAACTACATGCCATTAGACATTTGGAAAAATGTTTTTATCGTAAAAAAACGAATCTACCACTGACCAAATCTTTTACGATAAGCATCATCATTGCAACGTCTACGCAATTCTATAACTGGACTGTAATAAATGCAATTAACGAATAGTACACTCACGTCCACATACCAGGAATATTTATTACAATGCGTTATTAAAACCATGTAGTGTAAAACGATTATGAATGTTTCAACAGTTTTGGCTCTCAAGCTTGTGTTTTACACGGTTTTGGGTTAACTCCCACTGTCTGCAGTGTATTAATTAACAGTTGCGAACCGTGTAATTATAACTGTTACTGTAACGTTAACCACGATCTAGCGTGGCAAGGAACAGTAAATTGTCGTAGCACCATCTTTCTGCAAACTCCTGGAAAGTGCCGAATAGTGTTTGTTCCAATCTGAGTTAACGAGTAAACGTCGAGGACACCGCAAAGTTTGTCCATCGATTGGATATTATATTAAATTAACTTAAAATTTAATAATAAGTTTTGGGAGTGCCCTGTCACAGATAATTAAATCCGTCAATTGATTGATAGTATACTTTAATGATGCCCGGTTAAAATTTAATAAAAATATAATACCACTTTCTTCAAATGAAAAGAACTGATGTCCGATGGGGAGTAAAGGTTCTCGAGTGGCGACCCGAACCGGAAGACGTAGCGCTGGAAGGCTTCCCTTTAGGTGGACCGACGACATCATAAGAGTCGCGGGCAAACGGTGAATGCAAATGGCAAAGTGTTCGCTGTGGCGTTCTACGGAGGAGGCTTATGTTCAACAGTGGTCATCTTGCGGCTGATGATGAATGATGAATGATGAATTCTTTAAATGAGTCAACATTATTGTATATCTTTGTTTTAAAATGCCACACTAAGCCATAAATAGTGTTACTTAAGAGTCACAGCTTTTATTAACAGAAACAATTATCTTATATAATTAAAAGTTATCTGTAAAGTCCAACACACTCCCAGAAGCTTATCATACTTTTTTCTTAATATTGGAATATTCTCGTAATATATGTAAAATACATTAAATTTTCTCATTACTTTTATTCAGAAAGTCCACAAAGCTCTACCTCGTGGTGAACCTATCCAGGACGGCATTTGTGTATAATTGTACTTAATCCCGTGTAATTGTTTGAAACCTTATCATTATGAGGCGTTTTTGAACTGAAACAATGACGTTATGCATACTCTATCTGAAAATAAGCATTACATTTGCCTTTTATTTTGCCATATTGGTCAAAAACGTTATTACTGTTCGAAAATTGTGCATTGAATATACTACTAATTTTCGCTGAGGGGAAAGAGGATCGATTAAATTCGTTTCAGGCCGCATCAAAATCTAAGACTCCCTGACGCGGTTGCCAATGTTTTTAATTAACTCACCAGACGAAACGCGAAATTATAATAATTCCTCTTCACGCCGGTCTTCCGTGGGGCCGTGCTACATTCCCAGATGAATGCACATTCATGCAACATCAGAAGATATTGCATCACGGGCCTCACAGCTGCAGCCTAATTCTGCTTACCTCACTGCTGGCGGTAAAATAAAGGGATCGTCTACCGACGGTAACAGTAAATCAGGTATCAAATGGCTTCTCAAATGTAATTTGACAGTTGATTAGTTAATTTCTACGATGATCAGTGTTTCAGAAACCGAGCGTTATAAAGTTATAACAACAGTCCTAAGTTGGGGCGGGCGGGCTGCGTGTAATTTATCACCCTTAACGCGACGAATCCATCACGGGGAGAGTGCGGCCCAAATATCTAGGGGTCATCAAACGACCGCCCGAAGGCCGTCTCGCACGAGGGGCATAGACACCGCACGACCTCCACCCAGAGGGGGGAGGGGCTCCTGTCCCGAATATGCGGACAAACACCCCTCCACAAAATGCGGAACATACTACTGCAATCTGACGCTCTGTCGTGTCACCGCTGAAAGTCTACTATGGCAATTACTGTATGTGGAAAACGAAAGCTGAACTGTAGACGCATTAAGTCATCAGATGTTATTGGTATGATCAGTTTAATTCAATTAATATTAATTAAGATTTCTATGACAAATATTAGGTTGCAAAGTTTTACACATCATACTGTTATATCTTCACGTCAAAATTTTCTTATGTTTTTTTAAAACATTGCCCTCACCTTAGGATGACATTATCTTGGTACGTAAGGATGTTTTACAAACATAAATTTCACATGGACAAACACCCAGATGCGAAACAACTATCTGTAAGGTCTCACAAATAGTTGTCCCGTGTGGGAATCGAGCCCACGACCAACGACGACGAATTCAATAGGAGTCATCGAACACTCTTTAACACTGGTATAGGTGCATTTATTAGAGAACCTAAATAGAGGGACAAGAAATTAAAATAAATTGGCTTTATTTTATTTGAAATTCGTAATTCTTAACATTTCTTACAGGTAAATCAAGTTAATTAGACACAAAAGCTAATTGCTTCTTAGACCACGCAAAGCTTAAAACAGTTAGTGTAGAACCGTGAAGTTTTACATCAGTAATTCTTTATGAAACGTATAAGAGCAAAATTCATCGGAGAGATAGCTTAAATAGAGTTTTTTCTATCGGAAAAATAATTTATATTCTTTTATCAAGTTGATGAATTAAGAACAAGGTTGATTTCATAAAATTTCGCAGTGACCTTTTATAAAATTACCTAGTTTTCTTTCCACCTCGTAAATAATAGATAAAATAGTGTAGGCATTTTCGATTTAGTGGGATATATTTTTTTTAATGTGAGAAGGTGGCAATCGAGATGGCAGGTCACCGGACGTCAAGTGAAACCGCCCAGGGACATCTTCAACACCCGTAGAGTTACAGATGCGTCGCCACCTTTTAGTAAAGTAAGCCCCGATTACGAACAGACGCAGAAATTTAAGTCACCCACTTCACACCAGTTTTTTTTGTGTGAAGTTTTTCAGTTCACCTGATGGTGAGTGAATACCGCCGCCCATGGACATCTGCTACACCCGAGGGTTACAGATGCGTTGAAAACCTTTTGAAAATTGGACTCCGGCCACCTCACTCACCAGACGAAACGCGAATGTATTTGTCATACTTCCACTTTACGCTGGTCTTCTGTGAGGTCATCGTACTTACCCGGACGGGCCTGCCCATTCGTGCAACAGCCGAGGCTGCTGCGTGGCCCTACCACCGTAAAAGTTTTCTATGAGACTGTGGCGCTGACTGTTTCGTGGCCCAACCAAAGTTATTGTACCACTAAGAGGCAAACTTAAAGCTTCTCGGGCGGATAAAATGGAATGCAGCTGTATAATTGAAAAGCTTGACGTTGTTATGTCATAGATTGTAAAATCGTTTGGAATGTCACGTACCGAAGAAAAATTACTTGGACAGAATTGATCTTCACTTGTCAATAATAAACTTCCTGGAGACTCTGCCGACTTGTTTGTTTTATATAATCTATATATATAAAAATGAATCCCTATTTCCCTTGGTCACGCTATCACGCGTGAACGGCTGGACCGATTTCACATTTTTGTTGCGTTTGTAATTATCAGGAGAAGGTTCTTATGAAAGAAAAAATTTAAAAATTGCGCGGAAAATTAGGAAATTTAAGAAGACTACGCTTCATAGTATAAAACAGAGCGTCCCGCTGTCTTTCTGTCCCCATGTATGCTTAGATCTTTAAAACGACGCAACGGATCTTGATGCGGGTTTTTTTACTAGATACGGGTGATTCAAGAGAAAGGTTTATATGTATAATAAATTGCACCCGTGCGAAACTGGGGCGGGTCGCTAGTTTATCATATAATACTTATATAACTTTCCCATCCTAAAATTTAAAATCAAACCATCACCAGGCACAGATACGAAGAATCTTAGGAAGTTGTACGAGCGCGTAATCAAACGTAAGCATGCGAGAGAATGTGGGAATTTCGATTCGAGTATGTACAGAATAGGCCCCTCGTTATGATAGTCAGTCGCGAACGTCCACCGTGACTCGAACGACTTACGTCAACGGCCGGGAGCCGAACCAGAGACCAAGGCCGCTTATTTCGGCCGCCGATGACCGATCCGCATCAATATTAAAAATAAATACCGACACTTCTTATTCCGATGCCCGCGCTTCAATACTGCGCTTGAGTTTTAAAATTGGATTTCGCAACCGAAATAAAATTTCGCCCACTTGTTTTCGAAGCTATTTGAGCAAATTCTTTCGTTTGACTTCTGTTTCGTTAATTAATTACTCCATTAATTATATCTTTCACTTTCAATATAATCAAATATCAATAAAATGTGTTATATCTTAGTACTTTGATTGTTTTACCTATATATAAGCAGCAGTGGAGGATTACGTAAAGATATACTCCTATTATATAAAATAAATTAAAATCATTTATGTACTGAATAAAATTTATAAGAGATTTTATCAACTCCCAAAAATTCCCATAAATAATAGAAAATGTATTTTTCAAACTTCCAAAAACTCACTTTTGGTAGCACACATTACATAAAAATGAAGGAACATTAAAAAAGAATGTATTTAAGACTCAATGAATTTTGATTTGTTTCCATTTCAATGCAGAAGTATACATGCTTATTTGAAAAACGACCGGCGTACTGGGTGACTTTTGGCCTATGCTCAAATTAAACGTACTTGGCAAGGGCTTATCTGCGAAGTTGGTACACAATGCAACTGTGGCAAGAACACGAAATAGCGTCTACTGTTGCACGAAGACCTTTACCATGGCCTCGAGGAAGCCTCGTGTTCCACTTCTCGCCGGTTTTATCTGAGGTCCTGGTGCTTATCCGGACGGAGAAGGCTGTTTCAAAAGCATCGGCAGCCATACACATATTTGGGATGTCCACGGGCGTGTTAATCACTCAAAATGAAATTAACGTGCTCTACGCCAATTTATCACATGAAAAAAAAACACTCGAAGGTTGCAGTACGTTGTGAAACTAACTTATTATAACGACAAGCCACTAAGCGACACTATACCAATAAGCCAGTGTGTGCACAGCTGTAAAAAAAATCCCTAAGACCTATGACAACAAGGTGCTGGCCGTCGACGGCGTAACGGAAATCGCGAAGCCACCGGGGGCCAAGATACGCTGGTCCCCCTTATTTTGGCACATTCAACTTTGCAGGTTCGACGACCCGCCGCATAGTGTTTTATCTCGCGAAATGTACGCACATTTCGAAATAAATGAAATTGTCCATTGTTAATGAAAGTTCTCCTACCGAATTCGACGTGTGTGTTCGATGTTAATAAAATTATTTTTGCCATTGATACGAAAAAAAATCGAATCTGTAATTAATAACTAGAATTATTGAGCTGATATAAGTAATGGATAACTTAGAATTTATTTTCTCTTTAAAAGAACAGCATGACAGTATTATATCCAAAAGTGTTATAATAGTATTTACAAGATGGAAGAAATAAAACAAATGCATAACACTGCATAGATTTCTGTGGTGAGATCATCGATTATAATCGAGGCAATCGATTTTAGGCGGACGAACTAACGGCTGACCACCGCATCTGCAGGATTTGCATAAGCAAGGATTGAACCCGGTAGCCGGTGATCGATTGCCCCGGGCGCAGAAACACCCAAACATTGCCATGTAGCCGTTCATTACACTCTGCGTGGAGTAATGACCTCCCAAAAAATTCGTCCAGTACGCGTCGAGTTATGTTATTGATTCCTTTCCACTTCCTACTCACCTCCCTTTTCTCATGCACATCATGGTGTGTCAAAAAAAATAAAGAGCCCCAAAAAAACATAGTTTTAAGTAGAAATCACTTTTGGCAGCAAAACTTTAGGAATAAATAACTTGTTAAATTAATTTACAATTATTTAAAAAGAAATATTACTATTTATTTTAAATATATGGATGAACGATCAGACAAAGTTCACCCACATTCAAACGTAGGAACGAAATTTCGATTTATTTATAATCTATCGCACTCATTTAACGCATTCCTTCATCGTCGAGTAGGCTGTGTGATGTATTTCATTAATTGTACGAATAAGCACTAAATTATTGACACCTATATAATAACTTTCGTCCTAAAATCACCGTGTCAGCCACATAAACGTATGTAATAAACCTTTTCTCCTAAAATCGCCGTGTCATTGTCAGCTGCATTCAAACCATCCGGCGTTTAACAAACCGCCAAATCCCAATGGGAATCGAATTTTGCGTGAACACGAAGAGCACGCGAGAAACGGTGTGTACGCGAAAAAATAGCGAAAAAGAGCGATTCCGTTCGGCCGACGTCGGGTGCGTGTCATTCAACTTCGCTCGGTCGTTCGTTGACCCCCGAGAATTTTGGCAGGTCAACGCCCGGGTCGCCGGCCGAACGAGGCGCGTATTTATAGTGGAAGAGCGAGACGGTGATACGGTCTGGCCGCGGGTCGGAACGGGAGCGACGTATCGACACGTGACGATTCGCAGACGAAAGGCTTTCGATGAGCCCGCGAAGTATTCCCATTGTCTATTATTAATCGCTTCGTGTTTTTTTTTTTCGTATCGGTCACCGTGTTGGATAGGTTCGTAACGAAACGCTCAAGGCTTAAGAACTTCGGTCCCGCTGCTGGGGATGAGTGTCGTTATGACGTCACACCCGCTATCCTAAAGCCGGAAGCGTATGTTAAGGTAACATAAATACCCACCAACAAACCTATGGCAGGTGGTACAAAGCCCACGGTGTGCCCGTGCACGAACTCTGAAAAGAAGTCGGCAGCTGACTCTATCGTCAGGTACCTCATAATTTAAACGTAAATCCACCTGCCAAGCTGACGTGTACCGTCAGCTCACCTTTTTTTTTTTTTTTTTTTTTCGTGGGAAAAATCCTTTATGGATCCCCTACCACTGGATCGGGGTAGTGGCAGGGGTATGTGGGAGTCCCGGTGAGAAACGGGTACCCACTAAAAAACCCACGTTGCACCTGTCTCTGTCACATTAGCCGGGGACACGGGAACACGTGGACGCAATCTTCCGCGACCCCGGCGCGACTATGGCCCTGTTTAGGCCTCCTCTACTGTATCGTGCTGTGCCGGTGCAATTGGCACAGCACACGTCTCGAGCCCCATATTGAGCGACAGACACCCCCATGTCTGCCGCTCAGGGTCTCGCTATCAGGGGGGAAGGATGCGCGCGTAGGCCAGCCTCCTGCGCCCTGGTCTCCGGCGGCGGATTTCCAGGGTGGCAGTTGCCTCCCTTTCTCTCTCCGCGGCCTTCTTCCGGGTGATAACGTCCTCGCAATATGCGAGGACAGCACCCCACGCTCTCGCGCTGTCAACCATAGCGCGAACCACGGCTGGCAGAGAGAGGTCGTGCCCCACGATAGCGCATAGCTCTCGGCGCTGCTCCGTCCAGGCTGAGCACTCCTCCAGTGCGTGTTGGGCCGTCTCCTCGGCACATACGTCACAGTGGTGACATTCCGCTGTGAGCTCCCTCCTCGCCACGCGAAACAGGTACCTCCCGAAACAGCCATGTCCCGAGAGGATCTGCGTCGCACGGTAGGTGAGGGTGCCGTGTCGCCTGTCCAGCCACTTCCTGAGGATAGGACGTATGGCCTCTACGGTTCTTAGGCCGGCACTGGGGTGCTCCAGCCTCTGCTCCCACTCCCCGATGCCCCTTGAGCGCAGGCGATCCCTGCGCTCCCCCAACTCCTCCGGGGCCGGCGTATGGCCCTGGGCTTTTGCAGCCTCGCGCCAGGAGTGCAATGACGCGAGGATCTTCGCTTCCAGATCCCAGGGCAGAAAGCCGGCCAACAGGCAAGCCGCCTCACCGGAGATCGTCCGGTAGCCCCGTATGGCCCGAATAGCCAACACCCTCTGTGGTTTGCGCAAAAGCGCTTGGGTCCGGCGCTTCAGGGTGTCAGCCCAAACGGGAGCTCCGTACAGGGCCATGGACCGCACGACTCCGGCGTATAGGCGACGGCAGGAGTCATTGGGGCCGCCAACGTTCGGCAGCCTACCGAGAGCTGCCGCTGCTTTCGCCACTTTGGGAGCCAGACGCTCGAAGTGGGCCCGGAAATCCCATCGGCGATCTAGAACTAGGCCGAGGTACCTCATCGTAGATGTTACATCGACACGGACCCCACACACAATAATGTGAGCATCCGCAGGTGGCGCGTTCCGAGGCCCATACAAACATAGAGCCTCGGATTTATTCAGCGCCACCTCTAGCCCTAGTCGCCGAATGCGTCCCACCACCTGAGCCACTCCCGCAGTGGCGAGAATAGCGGCACGGCGAAAGTTTGTGCCACGGGCGGTCACAAGGGTGTCATCGGCGTAACAAATCACCTCGACACCCCTGAGATAGGCGCCACGTAGCACCCAGTCATAGCCTATATTACACAGGAGTGGCCCTAACACCGACCCCTGTGGAACACCGCACGTCACCTCGATGGTCCGATACCCGTCTTGGCACGGAAACTCAACACGGCGATGCGACAAGTAGGCCTCGATGGTACGGCGCAGGTAGAGAGGCACTCCATGGAACCGGAGCGCCTCCCTAATGCAAGCCCAGGGCAGAGTGTTAAAGGCGTTGGCGATGTCAAGAGACACCGCCAAGACAACTCCGCCCTGGGAAACTGCTTCCTGTGCGAGAGACCTAACTTGCAACACCGCGTGGATAGTTGACACATCGCCCTCAGCCTGGGCTCCAGGGCATCCCCCAGGGCCAAGGCCCAGGCTCGTCCCGGGATACCGTCGGGACCCGGGGCGGCGCTTTTGACTTTCATCCTAAGGACGGCAGCGCCGAACTCGCCCGGAGTCACCTCAGGTACATCCAGGCTCTGGTAGGTCACCTCCGTGCCGGGTCGAATTATCGCTGGTGGCGTGTGCTCCTCCCGCTGTGCGGCGATCGCCGTTACCAGTTGTGGCTGCAGGCTCTGCGTTAATGGGGGGGCCCAGGGGCGAAGCTTGTTCATCACCATCCTGTAATGCCTCCCCCATGGATCACGGTTGAGTGCAGCCAAAAACTGCTCCCTAGCAACGGCAATCGCCGATGCTATAGCCACCTGCAATGCCATCTTGGCCTGTCTGAAGGAGGCGTACAGTTCGGTTTCCAGGGCTAAATCCCTGCGCCGTCGCCTTCGGCATCGGGTGTACCGGCGTCTTGCTGCTAGACACGCACTGCGCATTTGCGCGATTTCCGCAGACCACCAGTACACCTGGCGCTTGGGAGAAAGTTTTCTGGACCGGGACATGGACGCATCACACACCTGCGTCATCACTTCCCGGAACTATTCCGCCTCCTCCTCAACGTCCAAGTGCCTAGGCGCAGACACCCAGGACTGGACGATTGCCGCCTCCTTCAGGACTTCTCGGTCCAGGCTTCTGAGCTGCCACCTTGGGCCATCTTCCCTAGCCGGTCGGCTGGTCAAGGGATCTGGTAGAGCGGAGACGTCGAATCTGATATAAAGGTGATCCGACAGTGTCTCTACGCCAACAACCACCTTCCAGCCTCGGACACGGCGTGCTAAGGCGGGGCTTGCGAACGAAACTTCCACGACTGATCCGCCCCGCGACCGCACGCACGTGTTCACCGAGCCCCGGCTTAGGATAGACAGCCCGACCTCGAGGAGCCATTCCTCCAGCACCCTACCACGCGCGTCTGTTATGGGCGATCCCCACGCCGCAGATTTGGCATTGAGATCACCAGCAACAAGCACAGGGTAGGGATTCAACTGGCGGAGCATTGACCCCAGTCGGTCAAGGTAGCTCTCGAACTCGGCCAGCGTTCTGTTGGGAGAGAAATACACAGAAATGACAAAAATCTCTCCGACAAGAGTTGCCACGAAGCCTGGACCTTTCCTCACATTACTGGGAGGAGGAGAACCTGCAGCGGTTCTGCAGACCACAGCCGCTGTGCCGGAGTGGTCCCCAGCCCAGTACTCGCTAGGGGGTACGAAGTACGGTTCCGACACCAGGGCCACCTGTGTCATCCACTGTTCCATGCTCTGGAGTAAAAGATCCTGAGCCCTAGCACAGTGGTTGAGGTTCGCTTGCAGGAAACTTAGGATGGCCATTCACTATTCAATGGTCATTTGAATCTCCTCCTCTCGGACCACACTGGCGTTAGGGCGAGATGATGCCGACCGGGTAAAGATTTCAGCGGCACCGTTTCTGCTTTTCCTCTTTTCTGGTTTATTAGAGGAGCAAGCCTTGCTACCAAGTTTATGGCTAGCAGGCTTTTTTGATGCTGCACACACTAAGCAATGTGGCGCTGCGCAACATTGGCCGGAAAGGTGGCCCGTTTGACCACAACGGTAACATGCGCTACTGCGATCGACTTCTGCCGTGCACTGCTCCCGGACATGGCCTACCTCCAGGCAACGGAAGCACCGCAGGGGCCGTCGTGGCATTAGTCTGGCTCGCACTGACGACCACCCCAATGAGGAGACGATCGGCTTTAATTACTTTGTCAGCTGCACCGACAGGGCAAGACACCAGGACCGTTCCCAGTCCTGACCTGTCTCGACGAATTTCTCCCGTCTTAATGGAGGTAACTGGGCAATCGCATACCTGCGCGACAACAGAAGCCACCACCGTACTTTCGGCAGAGTCATCCAGGCCAGATATACGCAGATCAGCACATTTTTCCGGCCTGGAGATCACAGCGACATCTTCGTTTATGACCCGGCGCAATTTTTTTCCGCTAACAAATTAGCCTTATCGCTGCTGGTGGCTCCCGGAACTTCCAAAATTCTCGCGCCCGTGATAGTTTTTCTAAAGCGGATGGCATGGATACCCATATTCTCCAGGTCCATAGCTTCTTTCGCCTCTTTTAGGATGCTGGCATAGGTGACCCCTTTGCTCGCTGCAACCTGCTGCAGCTTAATGACTACAGCAGAAGAGCGTGGGGGTCGCAAATTTGGCATCCTCTGACGCTCCTGGGGCTTTGCGCTTTTCCCACTCGTTGCGGGTTCCGTGCCGTTCCTGACTGATTTGCGCCGGGTTACTAGAGTTCACTCTTCGGAGCACCCAGGAGTTGCCGGTGGAACAAGACTTGCCCCTTGGGTGGCAACGGCTGGAGTATTCCTTTTTGTTGGCATTCCCTTTTGTGTCTTCATTTGCAGCGAAGGACAGGAAGACAAAGATCCGGATATAGCTTGGGGAGCAGGTTGGACCGCTGGCTTCACCACTGGCTTGGCCAATTGCGGCGCTGTCCTGGTTGAAACGGCATATGACGTCACCTGTTTGTCCGCGGCGAGTGGCGGGCGGAGGCGCTTTTCTGGTAGAAGGCGGCCCTCCAAGTTCTCCAGTCTGGCGTTTAGCATAGTGCCTACCGCCTCCATAATTGAGCGCTGCAACAATTCCAGGTCGACTAAAGCTCCTTGGACCTGAGCCTCTTGGACCTGAGGCCGTTGCAGATCCGCACGCAGTGCTGCTAACTCGTTACGGAGTTCTGATATCTCCACCTTTAGTCGCTTATTATCATCCGAAAGCTTTTTCGTCTCAGCTGATGTTTTTGAATTGC